CTGAAGTGTTGTAGGTTCGATTCCTGGTCAAGGCAGATGCTGAGGTTGTGGGTTTGGTCCTGGCCATGGTGCATATGAGAAGCAGCCAACCGATGTTTCTCTGTCACATCAATGTTTCTCTCCCTCTTTCTGCCTCCCCATCTCTTAAAATTAATAAGCATGTTCTTGGATGAGGATAAAAAAAGTACTTGCATGTAGGACAACTTAGAATGAATGAATGGAATCTACTGTATAACAAAAATGCTACACACCATTAAAATAAAAGACAGAAACTGAAGAAGATACAAATACATGGAAGCATATACCATGCTCAGGGATAGGTAGAATTGCTATCATTAAAATGTCCATACTACCCAGAGTCAACATAATTCCTATCAAAATACCAATGGCACTTTTCACAAAACTACAACAAATAATCCAGAAACTTATGTGGAGCAACAAAAGATCCTGAACAGCCACAGAAATCTTGAGAAAGAAGAACAAAATTAGAGGTGTCACACTACCTGATATCAAACTATACTATAAAGCTATAGTAATCAAAACAGCATGGTACTGGCATTAAAAAATAGATTAAAGGAACAGAATAGAGAACCTAGAAATAAACCCATGACTATATGGTCAATTAATATATGAAAAAGGAAGCAAAACATACAGTCGGGTAAAGACACTAAATTCAATAAATTGTGTTGGGAAAAACTGGAGAAATACATGCAAAAAAATGAAAGGTCACCTTCTTATACCATACACAAGAATAAACTCAAAATGGATTAAAGATGTAAATTTAACATCCAAACTCATAAACTCAAAGAAAACATAGGCAGTAAAATCTTTAACAATTCTTTTAGCAATATTTTTTCTTATATATCTTCTTGGGCAAGGGAAACAAAAGAAAAAATAAAGAAATGGGACTACATCAAAGTAAAAAGGTTTTGCACAGTAAAGAAAAACATCAACAAAATGAAAAGACAACCTACTGAATGGGCGGAGACATTTACTAGTGATACATGTCATAAAAGGAGTTACTGTTCAAAATGTATAAAGAATGCATGTGACTCAACATCAAAAAACCAAATAATCCAATTAAAAAGTGGGCAGAAGACCTAAATAGGTACTTCTCCAAAAAGGACATACAGGTGACCAATAGACATATGTAAAGATGCTCAACATCAGCAATTATTAGAGAAATATAAATTAAAGCCACAATGAGATATCGCCTCACACCTGTCAGAGTGGCTGCCATCAATAAATCAATAAACAACAAATGTTGGCGAGGATGTGGAGAAAAGAAAACCCTTATGCACTGTTAGTGGGAATGTGGATTGGTACAGGTATGAATTACTACATGCCTTAGGGCCCAGCAATTCGACTTCGGGTATATATTTAAAGAAAGGTAAAACACTAATTCAAAAGAATATATGCACCCCTGTGTTCATTGCAGAGTTATTTACAATAGTCCAGATGTGAAAGCAGCCCAGGTGTCTGTCCATTAATACATAGGTGGATAACTAGGCCAAAAAAAAGAATGAAATCTCACCATTTGGGACAGCGTGGGTGGACCTGGAGGCTATTATGTTAGGTGAGATAAGTCAGAAAAAGACAAATGCCATATGATTTCACTTATATGTGGAATCTACAGAACAAAATAAATGAACAAACAAAATGGAAACAGACTCATAGTTACAGAGAACAGACTGTGGTGGTTTACAGAGGGGAGGAGCCTTGTGGACTTGGTGAAAAAGGTGAAGGGATTAAGAACTACAAATTGGTAGTTACAGAATAGTCATGGGGATGTAAAGTATAGTATAGGAAATATCAGGGGGATCACTTTGTAAAGTACATGATTATTTAACCACTGTGCTGTCCACCTGAAAGTAATGCAAAATAATGTTGAGTATAATCTGTGATTGAAAACTAAAGTTAAAAAAATCTGTTAACTCGTGGAGAATGGGATGTGACCCCAGGCAGCAGGAATTGAAACATCCCCTCATCATCACTGTGTTGCCCCACGATTTGAGGGAAGAAGGCCTCATTACTTCTAGTGCCCAACCTGGCCGGTCGTTATGGCTGGGGCACTCGGGCTGTCCGGATTTTACATCGGGTCACAAATGACAAGAGCAGGTTTACAACTTTCGGTATTAATTTACTTTTCTTTTTAGTTTTGGCTACATGGTGTCACCAACAGTTTGATACACTCTATAGATAGTGAATGATGGTTCAGTATATTTTAAAAAATACCTTACATTTCTTCGTGGGGGATAATATTCAGTTAATTGGAAATAGCAGGAGAAGCTGAAAATAATGTGTTAATAGTCTTTGATACGTTGAAGTTTGGTTCATAATGTGTTTAAATCTGTATTTTTAAATTATAGCCTTTTAAATAGTGTACGCATGTGTAATACTGAAATTTTTGTGTATATTTATCTATTGCGTATCATCTATTTGCCTGAAGTTTATCTATTAGCAAGAAACTTATTTAATAAGAATATGTGATTTTCTTTTGGTTGATGTTTAGACTATTTTCAGACTTCTAAACTTTTCCTCCTTTAACATCATTTCTTGGGTAAAGTACTGTTTAGCACTTGAACCTATTAAACTTAAATTGGTACCTTGCAGTTGAAATTTACTGACTTCCCTTGTTCACTAGGTAATTACTTTTGTGACTGCACTGGCCTGGACTGTTCCTGACCCGGGAGAAAATAGCCTCCCCTCCCCCAGCTACCCCCTTTTTCTTTATATAGTTATAAATACCACCCATGTAGATTCTTCTGCATTGTAAGGGTTCCCCATGTAGCTAGTTTTATAATTTGTAAAGGTTAAAAGGGACTTGCGAAATTTTACCTAGAGGTTTATTGTTTTCATTTGCATGGTTTCCTGGGTTAGTTTCACTGAGCCCTTGTGTTCATAGATTTTTATTATTTTAAGGCAGCAAGTTTAGAAGCTTTACCTTTTACTCCTCCTCACAAGAGGAGGAGAATCGGGAGGACAGTGAAGCCAAGATCATGCTTCTCCCTTTGTCAAAAAGAATAATAATCACAATAAAAGAGCTGACATGTTGAGCGCGCACTTACTACACACCAGGCGCTATGTTGTGGAAGTCTCACCACACAGTGTAATAAGTATTCCCATTATTATTTCACAAGTGTTGGAGATGTGATTGAAGCTTACACAGTGTGCTAGAAAGGTTCTCCAGCATAATCTTAAACCGGAATGTCAGTTGGAAGTTGGATGGAAAAATACTGGTGGTTTTTCAGCCTTTTCTGTCTACATTAAAAAAAAAAAAGAAAAAAAAGACATTCCTTCTGTATATCCTTTATAATGTGTTCACAAACACAGTCTTTTTGCATGCTCCGGATTTGAACACAGAAACGCAGGAGAGATGATTGAAATCCTGGCCATCTGTCGAAGAGCATGTCCCTGCTGTGGCCCTGAGTGCAGCCCCACAGGGCATGGCTGCCTCTGCTGAAACAAGGCAGTGTGGGCGTGTGTGGCCATGGTCCCCAGGTGGTGGTGTTGGGGGCTGCCAGGCCTGGTGTGGCCTTGAGCTGCTGCAGAGTTCTGGCCCCAGGTCCCTGGGTTGGGCACCCCTCTGGCTCTTGTAGCAGCTGGGAGGCATAAAGGGCTTCCTGTTTGAGCTTGGCATTGCCACAATGACTAAAGGCTTTCTTTAGTATGGAGGGTTTGTGTATTTATTTATTTTTTGGTTAATTCTCGACTTGTTTTGCTTAACTCTGCCTATTTTGACCTCTGACTCTGTGTTGTATTTGTAATCTCATAGTAAGACTTTTAGGCTGAAAGACTCGAACATTATTTGCTTCTATCCTCTCTACCTTCTCATTTATAGATGGAGAAGTTGACTCATAGACATGAAATAAATTATTCAAAGTCATGGGACTGGTGGCTGGGATTAGAAATCAATCTTGTGACTTTAGTGATTTTTTTTCCTGTTACCAGGTGACTTGTCCCTCCCTGTGTCTTACTTCTAATCTCTTATTTGCTCTTCTTGATCCTGGCTTGCTGCCTGTCTTCCTAATCCTCTGGATTTGTGCCTTGCACTGAATGAGGAACAGTTGTTTGTTGGTGTTAATTGCAGCTTTGGAATTACAGTGCAACTTCTCTAAAGGCACTTCGTGCCTTAATATCATTATCAACAGATTAAGTAGGACAGTTCTCAAAACATTTCTTGAGAAAATGTAAATCATGTGAACTAGTGACTGACCTGGTTTATTTTTTTTATATCATTATTATTATTATTATTATTATTATTTAATGGAAGAGACTTTTAGGAAATCTAATGAAAACCAAAAGCATGGGGAAAAATCAGATGAGAAAGGTTTAACATTCAGTGGGCTGAGCAAGGACGCATGAGAGAATTAAGGAGACCTTAGGCCAACCTGTTATGCAATGCACTTAATTGGATAGGGCACATTTTTCTGCTTTGCACAATATCTGTTGGATCAAATTCTGCTCTGCAGGTGGAAATGTAGATTAATTTGTAGGTTTTACTTTTGTTCCATTTGAATTTGGAAAAACATTTGCTCGAGTTGTTTTAACAGATCTGATTAACAGGAGGGATGTAGATTTTTTTAATGCTGTGATATTTGGCTATAAGAAGAACAATTAGATGCGTGGATTTAATCTTTTTCAGTCTATGAATTGCATTCTTTTTAATCCTCACCTAAGGACATGTTCATTGGTTTGGGGAGTGGGGGCAGAGACACTGATAGGTTGCTTCCTGTACGTGCCCTCAGTGGGGATGGAACCTGCAAACTTGGTGTATGGATGGATGCTCCAACCGACTGAGCCACCCAGCTAAGGCTATTAACTTCATTGAAACTCAGTTTCCCTAGATGTAAAATGGGGAAAATATGCTTAGTTTACAAGTGACAAGTTACAAAAATTAAGTTAAATAGCGCTTGTAGAGTGCTTGGCACATAGTAGGTTCTTAATCTGAGTTGGCGTCCTTCCTTTCTACTGATTTGCCACTTCTCCATCATGTTTAGATCTCTGACATCCATGTCACCGGGGAGTCAGAAGACATGTCTGCTAAGGAGAGGTTGCTCCTGTGGACGCAGCAGGCAACCGAGGGTTATGCTGGAGTACGGTGCGAAAATTTCACTACCTGCTGGAGGGATGGAAAACTATTTAATGCCATCATTCATAAATACAGGTATGGAATTTGTGGAATTTTTTCTGTAGACAAATACGAGTTTCTTTCATTTCCAAATTTTACAATAACCTTTTATTATTACAGAGGCAATACATGTGCAGGTGGAAAAATTAGAAAATACAGACAAGTAAAAGTAAAAACATCACATTCTGACCACTCAAGAGATCTTCTCTCTAAGCTTGGAGCATACACACAGACCACACAGCTATACTATGTCTTTGGATTGTGCTAGTAATCTAGCAGACATTAAGGTCTGATATGTAGAAAGTGACCAAGTTTGTGTATAAAGATAATTGATGAGTAGTAAGATAAGGGTTTAGTTCAGGCTTAGAGATCATAAATGTCCAAACTATAGTCTCCTACTCTAGTTACTCTTGTGAGTAGCTGGGTTTAGCAGTGACCAGTTGTGAGGATTATTAACAACTAAATCCAAGTTAACGCTTACCTAGTACTTACTAAATTCCAGGCACTATCCTAAGCAGTTTACATGTATTAATTCATTTAATCCTCACCACATCGCTAAGGGAATATTGTCATCCCGACTAACAGAAACTGAGACAGAATTAGTGCCTGCTTAACCAGCAAGTGGCCAACTTCAAATTCAAACGCAGGCACTGTGGCACTTGAGTCTATGCTTCTATTACCTTGGAAGAAGCTAAATTCCAAGCAAATATTTATTGAACACTACATATTTCTTGATCTCAATTATTTTTCCTAGTTTTTCAAAGATTATATCATAGGGTTGAAGAACTGAATATCTCCCTAAATAGAGTAAACCTAAGCAATAACTCATGAAACCATGACAAACTTACTTGATACACTGAAATAATACCTATATAGAATAGTTAATATTTTGATAACTTCTAAATGGCAGGTATTCTGTACATGGTGTCCATGTGTTATCTCATTCAAATCTCCCAACAGTCCCCTGAAGTGGGAACTGTTACTGTCCTACTACTTCACAGGGACCTCTAGTTTGCCACATTGCTGCTGAGTTACAGAGTTACTTTACCCCTGGTCTGTTTGACTTAAAATCCTCTTATTTGCTTCTCCTCTCTTTTGCCTTTGTTTCTTTCCTCTCACTCCCTTTCTTTTCTCTCTCTCTTATAGTTTGGAAACATTGGCATCTATGAAACTGTGATACATCTCACACCAGGGGCCCCTTTTAGACACTCTAGCTGTCTGTTTCCTGTACGGAATGACATGTCAGTGGATGGAAGTGTAGGCTGCTGAATTAGGAGGAACCAGGATCAGCTTGCCTACACTTGCCCAAAATAAAATACAGTTCTTCTTGAGTAACACGACAACGGGAGGGTTTAGTGGTTACGGACACTGTGATTATCACACTGCACTTCCCATGTGACTTAGAACACGAGGCCATCAGAGGCCTGTGTAGCTGGACACATTCTGCACCTGAGATGATAAGATCTTCCGGGTCTTTGAACAGAAATATTTAAATTCTTTAAACTCTTTTAGGTAGAAGTGAAACATTTAGAAACTAGCTATTCTAAGATAATTGACTTCTAAAAACAATGGTCTCTAGGCATTGTCTCTACATTACTAATGAAGGATTGTAAATACAGATTAGTATATGCATGCTCTGCATTTTTCTCCTAAGTACTCGAATAAGTCAGTGTGTATGTCAAAGATTCTAAAATATCCCAGGGAAGTTTAATGTTATAGAGCTTATATTGCTAAGGAGATAATTTGGATGTTTTGAATGTTACTTCTTTTGAACTTTTAATTTGGCAAGAATGGTCATTTTAGAAAATTGTTTAGCCTTTACTTTGAATTTTGATTTCTTAGTTTGCTTTGTTTTCCTTTGTTAGAATTTATTTTAAAGATTCTGAGTGTCAGGTCTCACTCTTACAGGTATTCTTTGTTGCTAAGTTTTGTTAAGTTATCTGGTGCCTCATAAAATATTACTGTGGGTTTTTTTGGTTTTTTTTTTTCCACTACAAGGAGCTTTTCATCGGTGGAACTTTGTTTTAATTAATGCCCTCGGGCCTTTTATTTTTACTTAAAAAACATTTAAAGTACTTTTCTTCTAGCATGTGTAAGAATTAAATGGATGGGGTTGAACTACACATAGTTTTCACTATTGAGTGTCTTGATTTATTCTAAAAACAAAAGAGACAAAGTTATAGATAATTGAAAAATCAGTATGTGGAGATATTTGGATATTGGACAGTAATCACATCTAGAGAGTAGTGTCTTGTTTTACAGTTGATTTTACTTGACAATTATTTCCATAAATTTTGTGATATATTTGTTTTGGGCTTTTTGGATATTTTTAGATAAAAATTTTCTTATTAATATGAATTTTATTTGACTTTTGGCACATGAGTTTCATTTCTACTCAATTATCGAGTCCAACCCCATGGAAAACTTTGTTGAGAAAATTGTAAGCATAAGTGGGGGTGTAGCAGGAGAGAACCACGCAATCGCTGTAGTGGCCAGAAAGGGACATGATGCCCCTTCTTTGCACAGCAAGTCTGCCTGCTCTAGAGAGAATGCAAAAGATTTCCGTGGAGATTAGAAGAAAAATAGGTGACATTTGTCATTTAAAACTGATTTGTCATTGTAAAAAGTGACTTAAGATTTCTGTCTACATAACATGTTCTAAAGATTTAGAAATACTGATCTGAAATGAAAACAGAGTAATAACATTGTCAGATTGTATTATTGCAAATACTGTCAAATGTTATTGAGTGCACTAATTTGGATTTTATAGCATAGTTTTATTGTTCCCATATAGAATGTGGGAGCAATAAAAGTAGGGAGAATGTGACTGTAGTAAGTAGAACTTTGCTAATAGTTTAGGTATCCTAAAATATTCCATGAAGTGAAATAAAAATGAAGATAAATTCATATAATAAGACTAATTTATAGATATTATACAATAAAATGACCCATAAAGGTAAAAAGAAAGTAACTGTCATATAATAGGTATCTGAGAAATATATGCAGACTATTGACCTTGTATCAGTTTCTGACATGTTATTTTTTATATGTGGTAGATTTTTAAATGATCAATATCCTATGAAATAGATGGCACTTCTTCCATTGTATCAATTTATTAAATTAGCAGATTATTGAGTTGAGGCTCCAAAGGTAACTAACATGCTCAGCATCACCTACTTTTTCAGTAGTGTAGGTGATTGCCTCGGCTGGTGTGATTTGGTTGGGCATAGTCCCATAAACTGGAAGGTGGCCAGGTTCAGGGTTGGGGCACTTGCGTGGCTTGCAGGTTTGGTCCCCAGTCAGACCGTGTACAGAAGGCAGCCAGTTGATGTTTCTCTCTCTCTCTTTCTCCCTCCCTTCTGCTCTCTCTCAAAAAATAAATAAGTAAATAAATTGGCCCTGGCTGGTGTAGCTCAGTGGACTGAGCACGGGCCTGCGAACTAGACAATCGCGGTTCGATTCCCAGCCAGGGCACATGCCTGGGTTGCAACCCAGTTCCCTGCAGGCCAGTTCCCAGCAGGGGATGCAGGAAAGGCAACCATACATTGATGTTTCTCTCTCTCTCTCCTTCCCTTCCCCTCTAAGGATAAATAAATAAAATCTTAAAAATAAATGCATTTAAAAATAAATAAATAAATAAGTAAATAAATAAACATAAAAAATCAATAGTGTAGATGATTGCTTTGGATTCTGAAGTCCTCATACATTTCTGTGTAACTGCTCATGTGATTTCCTATAGGCAAACTAGATATCAAGAAATGGAGCTGTTGGCAGAACTGCTGTGGTATTGCAACCTTGAAGATTAATGATATTCAGCAAAGATATATGAAAATTCTTGATGAACTAAAGAAACGACTAAATGAATAGAACCATATAACTGCCAGCTAAGATCTTTGTCCCTTGTAAGAAATAAATGAGGGACAACCCTGATTGCTTAACTTGAATTAGCCATCGATGAAAATAGCTTCAGCAACAAGCCTAATGTAGTGAATAAAATTGTAAATAAGGGAACATGGAAAACACTTAGCATTAGTAAGAGAAAAATCACCAACGAACTGTTCTATAGTTTTAGTATGTCATATTATCCTGAAGAGGCCGGATTGTACAGTGGATAATAAGGATGAAAGAGTATTCAATAATATGATTTTGTGGAAGAGATTACAAGGGTTAGTTCTATAGGTTCTATTTAAATAGGTCATTGATAAATACATTATTTTGTTCTATTTTCTTAGGAAATGCTGTTCCTCATTCCTTCTAGGAATGTCTGTCTATGTTCAGTTTTCAGTGGAAAGGATTCAAATAATAAAAATACTACACATGTGTACTAGTTTCTACTTGTTTATATAGTTTGAATTTTCTTTAAAGCATATTAAAGTTTTTTTCACTGAAAACCACAACTGGTAAAAGATCTTAGGTAAATAAGCCTCACAATTGCCCCTGGCCTTGATTTTTCATTCAGAACAACAAGGAAGACTGGATTTGATGGACTTAGATCAAAAGGATGTCATGAAAGTATTTGATAAGTGAGTAGCCTAAAAGCAAGAGAGGATGAAGTAGAACTAACTGAGAACCAGCAGCCAAGGGATGGGAGTATCCCCTAAATACTAGTAGATTAATGAGTCACCAAGAGTTGAGATAGAAATAAAGGAGTAGAATTCCACAGTAGTTCCTGTTCTTCAGAGGCAGGCATTACAAGGAGAAGTTTCAGCCGGTAGCTCTGTGGTCTTATGTTTAAGTTTGTTCTGGCATCAGTAAAATTGACTTTTTTCTTTCTGAGAGAAGTAAAACTCTGTCTTCCAACTTGAAGTTCAGCTCCTGATTTGTCTTACATTATCATTTTCTCCAAGTGGGTATCTACCCCTGAAAGCTGATGAAAGCCAAGTTCCAAAACAGCAGTATCCAGCGTCTCCGAGTGTGGAAACATGTTCGCCTGAGCAGGCACGAACATGAATGCGGCCCACAGGCCAGAAAGGAGAGCACAAAGTGTGCAGTGGGACCAGATGAACCTCAGGTGGCGATGTGGAAAGATACTGCGT